ACACACACACACACACACACACACACACACACACACACACACACACATATATATATATATATATAGAGAGAGAGAGAGAGAGACAGAGAGAGAGAGACAGAGAGATGGCATTCAGCCATATAAAAGAATAAAATGGCATTGTGCCAATATAAATGGAATTGGAGATCATCACATTAAGTGAAATAAGCCAGGCACAAGACAAGTACCACATGGTCTCACTTATATGTGGAATATAATAAGTTAAAATTGAGAGTGCTATGTTGTTTACAAGTCTAGAAAGATAGAATATGAGGGAGGGAGAAATGGGAAAGGATTGTAATGAATACTAAGCCATGAATTGGAACAAGAAGTTCTTGTGTGCTGTTGCTCTGTAGAGTGGCTGTTGTACACTAATTTATCTCAAAAGAGCTAGAAGAAAGGACTTTTACCATTAAAAAAATGCTAAATGCTTGAGGAGATAGAGATGTTTAAACTGATTAAAATGATGCCATGCATACCCATATCAAAACATCATATGGTACCCTATAAATGTGTATGGGTTTTACGTTTTAACATATCAAATAAAATAAGTTTAAATTAAATTTTAAAAAACAATATTTAACATTTTAGAAGGGAGACAAAAATGCAGTTATATTAACTTTATAGTATCCAGCATGCTTTCAAAATCAGTACATAAGAAACAGAATAATATAGTACATAAGAAGGAGAAAAATCAAATAATAGGAAACTGGAACAAACTAGAAAATGATGCAACTCAGAGATAATACCAAGTCCTTGAACAGCTATGTTTGTGGAGTTACCCAAAATGGGTGATGTAAGTGGAAAACTACATTAATCAGAAAACAATAGCTGAAACTTTCCTAAAATTGAGGAAATGAAAAAATGCAGGCTTTTGAATTCATGTCTTTATTAGAGTTTTAAAAATCATGAGGACGGAATTCCCTGAGAGCTATATTTCAATTTCTCATTCAAGTGTTCAAGTACATACTTAGAATCTAGATTTTCCCATCTTGAAAAAGAAGTGGGAAATGCCCATTTACAACCTAAGCTAACATTTTCAATCATTTTGATAGCAACATTTAAACAAAACCATAGTATTTATTAAACACTAAATACTAAGAAGGCTGTCCTGACCTTTCTCCTTCATAAAATAGGTGTTTCGGGTAAAATACCTGCCATTGATTATGTGCTCTCTGAGTCTATTCCCTGAGCATATGAGAGAAATACTTTGAAGACTAATAGAACACATAAATATTTCTAATATTACACTCAGGATGAGTAAAATATACTTCCCATACAAGTCACAGAAACCAGTTTCTGGCAAATATTTTTAATTCTCTTTTTAACACATTGTTGATTTACTCAGATTAAAAACAATTTAGACCTGCTGCCTCTTCCTACTCAAAATAAAATCTGAAGAGCTGATATACCAGAGAATTCATCTCTGCTACACAGTCCAACTCAGACTCAGCACAGAAGTTCAGAATTAGTCCGGATTCCCAGAGAAGCAGAATCAGTAGATGTTGGATGGATAGATAGATAGATAGATAGATAGATAGATAGATAGATAGATAGATAGAAAGATAGATAGATAGATAGACAGATAAATATAGGGATAAATATAGAGATATAATGATTGATTATAAGAAATTGGCCTAGGCATTAATGGAGAACTGATGATGTTAAGTCCAAAGACAAGAAAATACTCAACCCCAGCTCAGACACTTGGGCAGAGAGGGACCCTTACTCCTCTTTTTGTTCTATCCAATCCTGAAGTAGATTGAAGGGGGCCCACCAAAACTGGGGAGTTCGATCTGTCTTACTAGTCTACTAGTTCAAATGTTAGTTTCAATGAGAATCACCTTCACGGTTTCACCTAGAGTAATAGTCAACCAAATCATGTGCGCACCTTGTGGCCCAGTTTATTTGATATAAAATTAACCCTCACATCACCACAATCTTCATCCCCTTAATTGGATCCAAAACTAAATAAACAAAAATTTCAAAGTTCCAGTTATTACCTGAGACATATATGATAATCAAGCTTATGATCAAAGGGGTTAATTTGGAAAAGAAAGCAGATGCTCTCAAAAATACATCCTTTTAACACAATTGAAATTTGGCCAGAACCTACACTTAATAGAAGTCATTATTTGTAAAACATATTTTAAGAAAAAAGCATAAGTTGAACATAGTTGAGTCAAATACTTTAAGCTGTTTCATTATTGTTGTTGTTTTCCTTCACCTGTTGGGACATTTCTCTTCTAGACCTTAAATATACATCATTTCCTTCCTTAGCACCTGATGGTTACCCAAAGATCTATAGGCAGATTTTATGTCATGTGATTTTCTGTCTCATTTTTATAATAACTACTGAATACAAATATAAAAGGAAGCTTATAAAGAGCTTATTTGAAATAATAAAGATTTAGCCCAAGAAGCACTAATGAGGTTAGTCACAGTATTAAATGCATAACAAAGGGTGTCATGGAAATTTCTTCCTATAGATGAAAGTACAGAAATGCATTCTATTTTCTTTTACAGAATTTAAACTGTATGCATTTTATAAACCAGAGGTATGTTTTTCAAGCAAAGAGACTATGAAAATAAATTAGAATAAATCTTCAAAAGTACACAACACCCTAAGACAACTACATATTCCTTAAAACAATTGCGTATCCATGAGAAAATTCAAAGTGTTCAAAATAAAATCTATAATAGATGTTCTACCTCTAGAAGGTTAGATTTGAAAAGAAGAGGCAGAAATAAGTCACAATTTAAGAATTGATATTTTAACTTCAATTCAAAAAGTGGCTTTTAAAAATCCTTAAAAGAAGGGCTGGGGATTTAGCTCAGTGGCACCATGCCTTCCTCATAAGGGCAAGGTCTGGAGTTTGATCCCTGGTACTGTGGAAAAAAAAAATCCCTAAAAGATGTTTTATCTCATAAAAATTTATTTCAAGAAAAAGTATTTATTGTGACCCATAACATTACTTATTGCAAATAATAAGATGGTTTTTCTAGATGCATTTCATCTCTAGTTGACACTCCTAGTCACAAGCTGATATACTCTGATTTTTTACTTTAATTTAGAATAGTAATGAATTTGAATGCTTTTCCTCTCTAGTTTTGTCATTAAAATAATAAAATTTAAAGTTTTATTAAGTTAACTTCTTTTTTCTACCTGGCCCACATAGTTGGACTAAGATAATAAAAATCTACATACTTGATATTCTAAGAAAATATACTATACTCAAATGCGGTGTTCCCTCATAACTTTGTTTTTTATCCAATTCAGCACTAATGTATGCAAGCATTTTTGGAAATGTTTCTGCAATTATCCAAAGACTTTACTCGGGAACTGCCAGGTACCATATGCAGATGCTGAGAGTAAAAGAGTTCATTCGCTTTCACCAAATCCCCAATCCTCTACGGCAACGGCTCGAAGAATATTTCCAGCATGCGTGGACTTACACCAATGGCATTGACATGAACATGGTATGTATTTGTTTCCCAAAGCAGAAGAACCGCAGGCACTATAGCTATAACCAAAGTGAAAAGGCCAGTCTCACCAGCTTTGAACCCCTTGCTTTTGTTTTCTTCTCTCGGACGTTTATTTTCTTCCCTGGAGATAGTGTTTCATTCTCAATTCATGGCATTGCATGGTGCTATATCTAGTTATACTGTGTGGCAAAGGCATTATAACATGATGCAAACTGATATAACTGTGTGAGTAGAGTTCCCACTTATGGTTAGAGAAAGCATTGCTTTAGCTAGGATTTGGACTTTCACTGTCTAGTCTAGTTGCAAGCATCCAAAATAGTAGCTAGACCTATGGATAATTAAGATCTGGCAAGTGAACTGTAATAATTATGATGTCCCCAAACAAATCCAAAGTTAATACATCATAAAATACAGAAATTTTTGAAAACTGTAGGAGAGGTTAGAGAGTTTAAGTACGCCATAAACATTTTCAGTTAGAGTTTCATGCCTCTTTTAACAGTAGTTTTTCTGAATTTTAAATAAATAACTATGTGCCCTTTTAATGTACTTGGTTTAATGAATATTTCCTTTCAAGGAAGAAATATGGATTCCTTCATACATTTTAAACAAATTTGACATCAACAGTCACCTGGCATATCCTTGCTTCCTATATCACTGGTCAAAAAATCAACACAATTAATATAAATATGGTCCAAATATTTTTTATTTATTATTTTATTATTATTCTTTTACCTTGCCTTTTGATTTTAGAGACTGATTGCTACCAATCAATTATACAAGTTCAAGATCAATGATATAGAGCCATAGAATAGAAAAAAAGACTAACATATGACACTTTCACACTTGACTACTCCTCCTCTGGGAAAGAATCCTGTTTTTGATAATTCTTTAGAAAATAAAACCACTCAAATTTAATTACATTAATTACTTAATACAATGTTTGTGTAAGCAAACCTGTAAAATTTAGATTGATTTTCTTTCCACCAGAAATATTCGAACATAAACACAAACAAAAACGAAGATTCAAAATGAGCAGTAATGGTGCAAGAAGCATTGCAAATATCGTAAAACTTGAAAGACATATTTATATAAGTTTTTTGTAGTTACATGTGATTTATTTGACTGAGAAATAAAGAAATATTATTACAAAACATTTCATTGAAGAGCTAGTCAAATTAGTACATTGCAGACAAAACTGTTTCTGAACTACATGAGTTAAGTCCAATGATCCCAAAGTTCACTGTGAAAAACAAATAACCTAATAAACTGATTTCCCCAAAGGGACTTTTTAATCTTGCAAGAAAGAGCAACTATATATTGGTTACTTTTACATATTCTATTGGTATTATTGTTAACAAAAGTATCAGCATTAAAACCTATTGGGTAAGCTCTACTGCAGGGTTGGCTAAAGCAGTGTCGAGAGTTTTTAATCAGAAAAATGTGTCACTCGATTTTATTGCTCCTTACTGCCAGATTACTTAAAAAAAAAGTAGTGAAACAATTATTTATTTACTTTCCCTCTCCATAAATTCTAGTCTTAACAACGATTTTTTGTGATAAAGTCTATTTTGTGACAACTATTTAACTTTCATTGTTTGACTCTATTACCTATGAATATGGTTTATATACCACTTGCCTATTTACAATGTACTTATGAAAGATTTATCTCTTTCCTGTCTGCTTCACACCTTAACACATGGAATCACAACACCCACCGGTAAGAACAGGAGGTATTTATATCCAATTTAATTCTCGTGTAAATTATTGTGGAGAACACCCTTGTTATCTGTTAGGCTTAGAGCTTGTTAAGTGATTTCCAGTGTTAGCTCTGATCTTTGCATGATGTAGCAGAGGGAATACAAATCAAGAAACTGGGGGCCAAGTACAGAAAAGAAATTCTTAATCTTAATGACTACTTGGCCTCTAATGATATTTATATACAGTTTCCCATTTGCCACAAAAATCTACTTCTTTGCCCCAATTTCCACTCTGGTAAAGGTTATGGGTATACGGTTTGCATTAGATAACTGTCATGAAGAAAATGTCATTCTTTTTCATCATCCTCTATTTTCACGATGTAGGTGCTTTTCTTTCCTCTCATCTGCATGCCAGTATTACATGATCCTGGAATGTGTGAGCTCTGAACCATGTGCCGCTGAATCTTGCATGTGGTTTTGAGAACTTGACTTGCACGAACTTCTTGTATGTACAGTGTCTACATTTCTCATTTTGTGACTGCAAAGTGAGTAAAAATTTAAAGTGCAAGATAACTCTGAATATTCAGCAATTGGAAGATGCTTGCTTTTTGAACATGATATACAAAACAAGGCTGACTAGGGAAAAGCAATTGTTCTCTTAGACTATTGAGAGATAATAGAAAAAACTCAAACTGGACTTTTTACCTCCATAATCCCATTGTTAAAATCCTTGTCTCATCAATTTATTGTTAACTAAATTATAATTTAATGGCAGTTGAAAATTATTTAAATTTATGTATTGTAGTACATAAAAATACATGAAACTGTTCTATTTTACATCAGCATTTCATGTTATTTCATTTAAGTATAACCTCAAATATAATACCTCATGAAACATTTCAGGTCATTTTTGCTATTCAACCATGTTCAGATGAAGTGCAGGGTTTCCAGTCACACTGCATTAATGAACTAAAAACTATTTTCATGACCTGAAACATTTGATTGCTTGGTACACTACAAACTAGTAGGGAAGATTTGACCTTAAAATGTGGCGATATTCCATATTTTCCTCATCTTTCATTTTTCGTGAAAACTATTATTAGAATTTCCTAGAACTGAAAATATTCTGCAAACAATTATGGACTCCTTTTCAGCTGAGCCAGAAAGGTTCAGATACAAAAAAGAAAGAGCCAAGATAATGAAATAGTGATAAGAATATGTCCTTTAGATTCTAATTTAGGGTGAGGATTGTAAATATTACCTCAAAGATGTGCACAGGTTAATTCCAGAAAATGCTTTTTTTCTACCAACAGAAATTTGCCTAAGAATAAGAATATCCTTTCTCACATTAGGATTGATGGCATCTCAAGTAATTCACCCAAACAAAAGTCATCTTCTGACACAGCCTGAAACTCTCTGAGGTTGTCTAGCATTGTTTGGTTATAAAATTGCCTAATGCAAGTCATCCTCCATGCCAGTGTAGAACTAAGTGTCACCACATCACACACAAGAGCCTGGTTTAAATGAAGAACAGCCCTGGTGCTCTATGTATCCTCCCAGATGGAGGGAAGTAATCCATTTCAGACAGAACCCATTTATAGCTTAATGTTAAACTAACATGGAGCAAAGGCCTTTATGAATATTTGATGGGGAATTTATCCCTTCCCTAACAATACCATCCTTTCACTCACCCAGGTAATCCCTGAATAATAAAAATGCAGAATAGGGATTCCAAAAACCCAACCACTAACTCTCGGTCTCCCACTACTCTTGGACAAGTCACTTAATCTCTACAGTTTCATTAAACTCGCCATTTGGAAGTATCTTTAAAGCATCAGATGTGTAAAACATGAAAGCTTTCATGCCTGAGGATGGAGACTCGACTCTATCTGCTGCCCACCTCCTGTAGTGAACATCTGAATGTTCCTTATAGAATATCTATTTCTGGACAGGGGTGACTCCAAAATGATGGGACTAGGGGGTGGAGAATGCTGATGGCAGAGAACCAGAGGCCATTTCAGGTGAAAGCAAGAACAAGTGTCTCGGGGCACTAGTGCAAGGCAGAATTCTGTTATCCAGGAACACCCTGGTTTCGCTTATTATGGGAAGAAAGTGGAGTGGGTATGTTTTAGATGGGAACGTTCATGGAGGAAATTCTGAGATACAGACATAGAAAGGATATGAAATAAAGGCTTTGGAAGGGAATAGTTCTTCAGTAAGGTGACAATATAAGTTTTTCTTGCAGAGAGGGAGGGAAAAAAGAGAGAAGGTGAGGAGTAAGAGAGGAATTTGACAGCACTTGCTCAGCAGTTTCCAGTCTCCCAGGTCAAGCAGAGAGTAAATTCTGCAAAAGCAGAAGATGCTTGAGCAGAAACAGGGGAGGACTTTTGGAGACTTCAACTAAGTCGGCTAATACTCTAAAAATACTTAGAATTATGGTAAATGCAGTGACCTACCAGGCATTTGTCATAGACCCGGAAAATAACACCAGTCAAACTGGCAAAGAAAATAGTAAATGAAATATTACTTACTAGAAATCTTCATTCCTTGGAACTGATATGATTTCCAAGGAGCATTTTGATAAAATCTGATTTCCTTTACTTCCACAATTGTTTTTGGTTTCTGTTATTTGCCAGAGTAGCCTTCACTGTGAACACTGAGCTTCTCTCTGCATCCGCAGTCTCTCTCTCTCTCTCTCTCTTCTCCATCAAAAACAGTTAACAACTATCCCCTACACTGAATAACTCCATATTTTGGTCACAGTGCTTTCATATGCTGAATGAAATACAATAGTGGAAGCTTGCACTTTTATTTATTTCAGCAAATCAGAAAAAAAATCCTTGCAACACTAAACACTGTCACTAATATAAAGGCAAAACATAAAATAGCATTATTCGCTTTCAAGACTATATTGTTTTTGTCCATTTTACCTTTTTCTAAAGATCTACACTGAAGTCTATAAATACAGTAAATGTAAAGAACTTGACTGCATCATAGAACTAAAATAAAATTACTGAAAAGGATGCCTTCAACAAATCAAGGGGTTGCATTCTTGTAATCCCAGCTACTTGGGAGGCTGAGGCAGGAGGATTGGAAATTTAAAGCTAGCCTTAGCAAATTGGCAAGAGCTTGTCTCAAAAAATACAAAGGGCTGGTAATGTAGCTCAGTAGCTCCTAGGTTTAATCCCCAGCCCCAAATAGGTCCCTCAAATCTGACTAGTCCTCCACATACTTAGAAAGGGCCATAAATATTGGCAAAAACTTACACTTAAATAACAATGACCCACAGGTTTAATG